AGCACGCTACTAAGACGCCAGTGAACTAAACTCCACGTATCATAGCGCTAATGCACTAAGACATGAAGTTGAGTATGCCTGTTCCACTTAAAAGTGCTACCAAAAACACTCATCCCAATCCGAAAGATAGACGACGCATCGCTATGCGCTACGACGTTGCCCACAAACGGTATGGGTTTGCGATGTCCACGGGAAAGCGGTATTGCTACAACAAACCCTCTTAACACCGGCACTAAGCTGATATGTCTAGGACACATGGGTTAGCGAGTCCAAGTTTACCTCGGACCAATTGCTCGTGAAGCAGCATACACGCCACCATAATATTCCTTTTCAAGGATAAGGACTAGTCATTTTGCTACAGTACTAAGAGCAGTCGGTCACCCGACCACCCCATATAATGCTTATGCATCACGGAGACTTTTTTTGTTTTTTTTTCTATAGTAATGCTTTTTGTATCATAGACCTTACTTTCATTAGTCATTCATATATAGGACTCGAACCCACGACCCCACTATTGTAATGCAAATTCATCATAGAGACCTTCTGTAGTATTGCTTTGGTATCGTAGACCTTACTTTCATAAGTCTTTATTTTTTTTTTTTTTTTTTTTTTTTTATAAAATAAAAAATTGGTTCTTGCTGTGGGTTTATTTATAGGACTTCAACCCACTACCCCACTATTGTAATGCAAATTCATCATAGAGACCCTCTATAGTACTGCTTTTGTATTATTGGGTTTATTATCATAAGTCCCTAATATAGGACTAGTCATTGTACAGTATTTCAAGCAGTCGAGCTCCCGATGACCCCATGTAATGCTTATGCATAAAGTAGACCTTCTATAATATTGCTTTTGTATCATAGACCTTACTTTCATAAGTCATTCATATATAGGACTCGAACCCACGACCCCACTATTGTAATGCAAATTCATCATAGAAACCTTCTATATTATTGCTTTTGTATCATAGACCTTACTTTCATAAGTCTTTAATATATAGGACTTCAACTCACCACCCCACTATTGTAATGCAAATTCATCATAGAGACCTTCTATAATATTGCTTTTGTATCATTGAGTTTATTATCATAAGTCCCTAATATGGGACTAGTCATTGTGCTACAGTACTTAAAGCAGTCGGGCTCCAGACCACGCCATATATATTTACAACTGCAGGTATGTATCTCCGGCAGCTCCTCCATACCAGACATCTAACTTCCATAACTTAGGAAAATTTTCTTTTATACATGAACTCCTTCCACACCTTAGACAATTTTTAACAAATTTTCTAATTATCTTATAAACGTTATTTATCTTTATTTTTATAATATTTTCGACTTTTTTTATTTTCGTATTTTTGCCTTTAATTTACTATGTTATTGGTCTAATGTCTGAAATGTATTTATATTAAATTTATGCTTATTAATATAATTTTATTGCTTAGTATATATATATATATATATATATATATATATATATATATATATATATATATATATATATATATATATATATATATATATATATTAGCGATAGCGAAAATTTCAGATATTGAAAAATATTAAATAATTAAAAGATCGAAATAATACTTACAGTGTCACATGGAGAAAAAAAAACAAAGTGGTAAATTACTGTCTAATGTGTTGAGGTTTGTTAATAATTTAAAATATGAAGTTAAAGATTTGGTGAGTTTATGTTTACATCTGATTTGAGAATATAACCACTATAGTCTCACGCCTACACGTTTACACATATATACATATTTATTTCAATTACTTGGTGCGATACACTACAACGTCTCCGAATTGTCAAGAAAAGCTGCTTATACGCCTTGACATGCTATCTATCCCCAACTATCTGCTCGCTCAAGTTGTCGTCAAAATCTCCCAGAGGCTACGCAATGTGATGTATCAACATTTTGTAAAGCAGTGTACCATAAAGGATTATGATACTGGATACTGAGATAAATCGAAAACATGGCTGGAAAACCCCCAACAATGATATAACACGACCGTGAAAACACCTGAGCGCTTGACAAAATGTATTCATATTAAAAACTACAATATGAAAACATGTCTGACTTAAAATTTGACAAGCAACTCTCCACGCCAACAATCTTTAAAAAATGATACTAAAGTACAATCGATCCTGGCCGAAAGTTAGGGTTTTAAGCGCACCCAATATTTTGTAGAATCGAAAAACGGCGCGAGTGAAAATTTTAGATATTGAAAAGCATTAAATAAATTAAGATCGAAATATTTTTAGTGATATATGGAAACAATTAATAAACACAATTATTATAAATGACTGTATAAAGTGTTGACGTTTCGATAATAATTAAAAATATGAAGTTAAAAATTTGTTGGTAGGTCAGTAAAAATAGACGTTTTTTTTTGGTCAACTTTACACTAAATTTCCGATTCAATTTTTATTTTTTAAGTTATAGGATCACTTACTGAGCATAAAATCACAAAATGCTGACAAATCTAAGTGACTTTAATCATTTAATTTCTTTAGCTTTAATTCAATTTAATCAAGTACCATCTTGAAAAAACGTTTTCAGCTGATATCTCGGAAACTATGCACTTTAAGACAAAAGTTATAAAAACCATTATTGTAGAGAATAAAATTTCGCATCTTTTGTTTACAGTAAATATTTTTGTAAAACTTACCGTTTACGATTTATGGTCCATTTAATGAACCGGTTTTTCTATATCGCGGTCAATAACTCTTGAAATATTAGATTAATCAATAAAATGCATCAATCTATTTTTCTATTTTTTTATCTTTTTTCTAATGTCCATACTTTTTGAGTTATAGGACATTTAATGCTGGACTACCAGGCGTAACGTTGAAAGTTTCAACGGCCGAGCTCATTCGACGCTCGGCGGGTGACGCAGCAGCTATGCGCTATCTTAAAATTTTCAACTTTACGCCCGGTAGTCCAACATTAAATGTCCTATAGTATAGACATTAGAAAAAAATTTAAACAAAAGTTGTGGTGAATAAACTGATCTTCAAATTAAATAAGCCATAAATCGTAAGCGGTAAGTTTATTGGAAACAAAAGATGCGAAATTTTATTTTCTATAATAATAATTTCTATAAATTTTGCCTTAAAGTGCATAGTTTCTGATATATCAGCTGAAAACGTTTTATCAAGGTGGCACAAGTCTCTCGCTAATAACGTTATAAAGATTGGGAGCATGTCAACGAAGATTGCGTACACAAATATGTCAACACGCAGGTTCAAACCAAACCAACACTAAACTTAGCACATCCCCATCAGGCGATGGAGAAAATGTATGAGGGTGTCTTTTAAACCATGCGTTCCTTCAAATCCACATTACGGTGTTAAAATGGGACACTTCAACGCAAAACTAGACAGAAGACAGAACAATGAGATGAAGGTAAGAAAATTCGGGATAGGGTAATAGAATACAGGGGGCCAGCAGCTGGCCGACTTTATTGAGAAACCTAAAGTCGACCTGGTTGACCCACGATGGACCGACAAAAATGTGAATAACTTCATTATGATGACTAGTATGCTGTTCAGTAATGTTTCAGTCATCGTGAGGGTGAAAACTAGCAGCGATCATTGAATGGTGAGAGGCACACTAAAACTAAACGTTTATTTGGACAGGTCATGTCTTATGAAGTCAACGCTCTGTTCACCTCGTGCTCTTATCGAATTTCGACCAATTTCCCTCTTGAGCCACTTCTACGTGCTATTTTCGTGAGTATTTGAGAATCTTCTCGCATGCAGACTCAACAACTTCCAGCCTACCGAATAAGTCGGTTTCCGAAAATGTTTTAACACTTAAGACCACAGATCTTCGGCAAATTGTACAGAAGACCGAAGAGTATAATCTGCCACTTTGTCTTACGTATGTGAAATATAAGAAAGTTTTTGATTCCGTCAAAATTTGGGCGGTGCTACATTCCCTTCAGCAATGCCAAGTTGATTGTCAGTATAGCAAAGTGGTGACGTATTTGTACGGTAGGGCTAGGATGGCCATCTGAATATTGAACCAGAAATTAGAAACCTATCCAATTGTAGAAAGGTGTAAGACAAGGTGACGTTATATCCCCGAAACTTACGTACAGTACGAAAATTCCGTGACCTTCCGTACTGTGTCCTGGAATTATTGTATTACAGCTTAACTACACCAGTAATTATTATATTACAGCTTATTTAGCTTTATGATACAGCTTACACGAATAGCGAAAGTAAAAGAATATTCAGGGTTATTGAATACACTGTGCGACATTGATAACAAATGTTCATCATATCGGCGGCCTGTTGACGAAAACCTATTTTAATCGAATGTGAAACTCTAAATTATGATCATGACTTCGCGTACTTACACAAAACTGATGCATAAATTTATAGAGGGCATACTATATTATTTTATAGAGTTAAATTGAAGCATCTAGGAAACAAATATTTGCGTAATCAAAATCAGTAATAAGCAGAATTAAAGCTAAGGCTGTATCAAAGGGTAAAAACTTTAGAAGTCGTTTGATCGTGTGAAATTTACATAATTTTCTAATTTTACTTATCAGTGTCACCCATAAAACATTAACTTAATCTTTAAAAAATAAAAATAATAAAGTAACAGCCTATGTACACCCCAATGCTGGACACAGGTCTCCTATATTTTCTGAGAGGGTAAAATCCATTTACAAAATTCTATCCAGCGCAAAGCTGACCGCTGCCGTTGGCCGATCGCGAGTGACGGTACATGTCAATGTCTTGCAGTTGTCTTGGTAGTGGTTGATATAAAACTCATATTTTTATTTTTATTGAAATAAAAAAGACTAATCACTTACTTACTTTTATTTATTTTATACTGTAACATAAAAATAATTATACAGAAACGACAAATTGTTCACAAGTCGGCTAAAAACACAGCTTTACTTTGAAGAAAGATATCATAGTAATCGTTACATTTATTTATTCATTTGAGTTATGACAAATAATATGTGTTTGATATTTAACTAGGAGTAAAATATTCCATTAAAAATAATATTTTGTCCCGTTTTTAAAACGAATACAAATGGATGGTCTGCAACAAATCTGATGGTCTGGGGTATGAAAGCAGCCAGGTAGGATATACCGAATTCTGAAATGTTACAAAAATATTATTATTAAAGTTGTATTCTTAGCCGTTGTTATATTATCATTTACGACATACGATAATCATTACGATAATAAATATATTCAATAGTTATATTTAAATAAAGAACATTCAAAAACTGACAGAAGTACACAAAATAAATTAAATATATATTTTTTGAGATTTAAATAAGTAAATAATTTCAATAGCCACTATAAATTCCATTGAATATGGAAGTTTCGTTAAATTTTATACTGAAAATAAATGGTCTGTCAGCGACAAAGAGCGTTTGCGGTCCCAGTGATAGGCTTTCCAAAATTATAAATTCTGAAAAACAATTTTATCTTAAAAAAAACTTCCAAACCAAAAATGAATATATCATTAAAATATATAACAACTTAAACAAATTTAAAGTGAAAAAAATATTCTTACCATTAGCAGCTGCGGCTTCAGCGCCTTCTTCATTTATTTCTATAAAAGCCTTTTGAATGGCTTCGCTTACGTACAAATTACCAGCTTCTTTCAATAGTTTATTTAACTTCGCATGTTCGGGACTAAAAATTTTCTTGACACCGATCTAAAATGTTTAATATAGAAAATAATAGGTAGTTCATTACATTGAAATGTCTTTGATTTGTTATGATTTTCTTAGTTTATGACATTTTTTATGACAAAAAGCAAGAAATAAATGAAAGACTCACTTTAGGAAGAATTTCCTTGAGATTTGTTGAAGTTTCGATTTTGAATTTCGGAATGTACGCTTCTACTTCTACTTCATATAAACTTTTCAAAGCATTGTCTAAAATAGAAGGATCCTTGAGTTTTTCTTCAAGCTCAGTAATTCCATCGATGTTATTAGGAAGAATGATGTAAAATGCAGATTCGTCTCCTTCGTAAGGAATTGCTAAAATCTGAAGTATTATGTTAATATATTATTTATATTTATATTATTTATTACACAACGGAAATAACATTATTGGGGAATAGATTTTGTTACAACTTTTAATTGGCACCGAGTTGAAACTGGCAGACACGCGATAATATTGAGATGGTAGCGATTCAGCGGTCGGCCAGAACTGACTCGTCCCCGGGAGTAGGAGGCAATTCTGCCTTTAAATTATGAGAAGACAATTTAGAGGAAATCTATGTAATCAATTATTGTTCATGATTAAGTGTTTTCACTAGCATTGGAAAACCATAACAGCCCCCCGACTTAGAGTAGACTACACCCTTAAAAGTGGAGTTTATGTTTAAGTTAATGGAATACATAATTTTTAATTAGTATATTTAATTAAAATTGCCAATAATTTTAACTAAATACGAATGTTTAGAGATAAGCGTGGACGACGTAACGGTAAGGTTTAACATCCCGTTGTGGCATTAGATCCGTCATTGTAGTCGTACCCGTACAGTTTCCTAAACTATGGACTAAACTATATATATACTTGAACGTTTCTTACGACGTTGTTAAAAAAATTAATAGCCCACATTTAAAAGTTCTAAATATGTTTAGGGAGGAGTAAAGTGTTTAACCTGCACTGACATCTGAGAGTACGATAGATTAAATGGAGAACATATTATAACTGATGGAGAACTACAATTATTGGTATAATCGGTTAGCCAATTTAGAATGGGTTACTTATTATTATTCATAAAATATAAAACCGTGCCCACCTTAGCGTTCAGGTCTGCTATTTCGCCGTAATTGTAATTTCCTTTTCTATACATTGTTGGCACTTTTATAGTATTTTCACGTGACACATGGAAGTTACTGTCGCTTGTAAACATCTTATTGAAAGGATTTTTCCACATGCCCTTTGAAAATTAAATAATAAATAATAATAAATTTTGTATTATGCAATTCAGTAATACATATTTCAACTTAGTAAGTAGCTTGATCATACCTTGAAATAAATTGCATTCACCAAAACAGCTCTTGTATCCGATGTCAAGGTTTGAGGATCCACTAAATTTTTTATACGATGGTTAGTTTGATCTTCTACCTAAAACGTTTTAGCTCTATATATTTTACATTTCATATTTTATTCATCAATGTATCATCAGTATTAAGTTTATTTCTTCAATATTAGAGTATACAGAGAAATAGAATCAAAGAGCATTTGAACTAAGGATGGATGGAATCCAATATTTTTATACCACGATGAAATTTGAACGATTTCAATGTCCTCGTATATCCCGAACATGTTATTTCTTAACTTTTTTTACATTTATTAAAATAAAATTATAAGAAAAATACAAAATCTCAAGCTTACCCAAGCATTTATTTCTTTTGCCGTTTCTTCATTATGCGTAAAATCAACATTCTTCACTTCTGATTCGAATGTTTCCCTGGATATGGCTGCATAATTATCATTTAGGTCATAATTTTTAGCAACGTAGATTTTGTTTGCCATTTTCAGATCAACTCCCTTTACAGTTCTTAATTTGGAATTCATATATGAAAAAACAGATTTTGTCTGAAAAAGTACCATATTGTATAAAACATATTACTTATAAAAAGAAGCGATATGATAATTCCTATACCAAAAATAAAAAAGAAGTTATAGATTATTGGTGCATGAAAAAAGAAAAACATTTTATCAAATACTTTAAAAAATAATAACTTTTCAAAAGTTAAAACTTTAAAGAAATAAAAAATAGAATAATTTTTATATAGGTATCTAATTTAATAGTTTTTGAATTCGGGCTTTAATTCTTTAATATATTATTTAATAGTATATATATCTTAGTAGTATGTATTTCAGAAGCTATTATTTTATGTAGAACCTATTTTATTTTTTATAGTTATAATTTATAAATTATATAATTTTAAGTTTTATTGTTCGACCCTTTTCAGTGGGCTTAGCAATATCACAACTACAAGGAGGACCTGAATGTCGTCTAAACAATTGCATTAATAATTTTACGTTTAGTCAATAGTACAAATTTATATTTTACATATTTTCATATTATGGAAAACAGTTGTAATACTTACAGATTCATCATCGGGAAGGCCAATGGCTTTTAATAGTTCGTCGTGAGAGTCTCCATCTGAAGCAAGCGACAGTTGTGCAAGCGGAGTAAGTACAGAAAAAGCAGATAACACAAAACTCCTGTCTTGTTTAGTCTTTGCAACTTCCTGAAATGTGTCAATCATGTCTCTCAGTCTTTTTTAAATTGAAATAATTTTGATAAAGGTTTACTTGAAAGCGACACCCGATAGATAGGGATATTATTATGAAGTATTTTATACCAGATGTAAAATACTTCGAAAATTATGATGACCCGTGACAGTTTTAGCGAAATTTTTCTACTATAGGTAGGTTAAATAATTTTAACGTCGAATATTTAGCGGAGACCTATTACCGACTTGTGAAGAAAAAAAACTTTAAAGCCGAAAAAAGCCATAATAATTAAAAAGATTTAAGCTATTTTAATACTATTTTCAAGGCTTTAATTCACATATGATTTTATCAAGTAAGAAAACATTAACTTACAGAAAACATTTTTGCTGTGAAATTGTTATTACCAGCAGTCAGGAGTTCCCTATATTTTGTATCATCGCCACCATTTACCATAGCTATTATAACTAAAACCGTTACTAAAACAAAAAAATAAAACATTATTTTAATCACATATTTACCGTGTTTACCGCTCATTAGAGCTTCTCCTCATTGTTGAGACATGTTTCATACACAATTGCACATAGACAAAAATTCAGTCAGAAACCATGTAGTGGCTGTTTCAAAATAACCCATTAGCCTATATCGTCCCGTGGGTGTCGTAAGAGGCGACAAAGGCGGTTAAATAAATAAATGAATAAATAAATTATCTTTATTTCATTCATATTGCACCCATATAAATTACCAACAAAAAAAGACAATAAAGTACAGAATTACTAAAAATTAAAAAATAATAATATTTTTTTATGTTGTAAATATTTTCAATAAAATAAATATTTTGTTCTAGATGAATCTCCAATTTTTATAATAGATTTAAATAGGGCATATGTAATCTAAGCATATCTTTACGTAGTTTAAATCCTCATTGTATTAGATATTGCAAATTAAACCGGTTTAGACTTAGGTCATTTACTTATAACAAACCGGTCTGAGAGTACACAGTGCAACTACGGCCAACTGATGATTCTTATTATCCGTGATTTTCAATGTCATTATGTCGACGCAACAATTCATTATTTATATTTATCGTTTACCTTATGATGTAATTATGCATCACGATTTTATAAATATATTTTTAAGTTAACATGTAAACAAATTTTATTTTATCAATTTTCTATTTATATTGAAGAAAAATGTTTTATGTATGTTATAAGAATGTATCAGAAAATATTGCTTAAGTTGTTGATTAACAAAGTTTACTGCGATAGCGTTAAAAGGCAAATGTTATCAGAAAATGATTACCAGCCGAAAATGATTATATATTGCAATACGCTCATAAAGAATGTTTGTGTTCTATACACGGCCTATATAAAAAGTAATCGTAGCAACATAAATTGCCAACAAAATACAATAGTTTTATTATAATTACCATGACATAAACACTATTTAACTATGAATGTAATAAATTTTTTGTGACCAAAATTATTTCAATACTACAAAACTAAAAAAAAATGTATTTTTAAAAGTAAATAACTTACAGCAACTATAGAGATTCATGATGGAAGCCGCCACACGCACGCTTGCTGGATCTATACTAACCAGTTTTCTGAGATGATCGTCGTTAAATAAATCAGTGTACAGATTTATAAAACATACAAATTTAGTTGGCGTTATCTTTCGCCGAATAATAACTATATAAGTGAAAACTACTGCTTAGGTTATTTCATGGACGGTAAACTTCGTAATGTAGTAAAATATACTTAGGAAAGGTATAGCAATTAGTAACGTCCCAGTGGTACTAATTACTACTATATTGAACATCGGTTTCTATGTATTTCTTATAACCCCTTTATTATTTAGTTTTAAATAAACTGCTTCGTTATAGCTTATCAAGACCGCCAACAGTAAAATTACACATCATTTTTTTAATACACTAATTTGATATTTACTACGAAGTAAAATATTTGATTGAGATTGAAGTTATTTTTACTGATATAATTAAGAATCCGCCGGTAATTGCCATAATAATGTTTTCATGCTTATTATGTGCAGCGAATGCTGTACCGCTTTTGTCGATTAAGTCCTTCTATAAACTAGGAAATGTGAAAATTTAAAATGTCGTGTCTCTGCACGGTAACCGATCTAGTTCTATCTACACCGACCACATCGCTTGAAATGTTAATTTTCTGCTTTTCCGGGCGTAATCCCAACGTCCCTACCATGGATAAATGTTACCATTCTGGATATTTTATAATTCAAGCTATGTGTAAAATATAAAGTTAGTCAGACTTATGACGGAAATTTACCCATTTTTAAATAAACTTATTCACATATTCAAAACAACGCAATAAAGGAGTTATGTATTTGATTGATTGAAATTAATTAAAAATTTTAGCGGTAGTTTGACCGCTGGCGGATTACCGCCTATTTTATCTTTTAAATAATATGTAGTATGAAGTAAATTTTCATACATATAAATGGTACAATTTTGTGTATTAAATCTGCGTATTGAAGTATTAGTGGAAACGATGTAATAAGTGCTTCAATGACAACCAGGTTTTTTTATCCTCTTACAGGCCTTGAGTTATTCTTAATAACTATCTGCTAAACTACGCTGTTTTAAAATCTCCCAAGAACTTCGCAGTGCGAAGCAATATACGAGTAGTGTTGTTTAGAGTTCTGTGAACAAAATACAAATTACACTAGAATGTACAGCCTTTGCATGCCTTGATTGGTACATCGTAACAAAAACAACAACAACAATGACAATAATTAATACCTAAGCTTACAGAAATAATTAAAGCATATTGAACTTAGTATTAAACAAAAAATATCATTTTAAAAATTTAATACAGAATATCTTTTTCATACACGGATTTTTTTCTAATTTTTGGCACACATTATGTGTTGCTGTTATGCCTCCTGCTTTCAAAATTCTTGTATTCATGTGGACATACTTCTTATCTTAAATATTTTTTAAAAGAAAAGGAATTTACATTGCATCTGATACCCGTCAGTGAACACTGCAGTCTACGAAGCAGCTTCGAACAGAAATGGTTTCAGATGCATTGTCACCGCTGAGGACAAAATGGATTGCAACACAGCCGATTATTCGCTTTTCATAAGGCTGGAACATAACAGTACTGGCACCACTAACCAGAAAAATGTAAGAAGATGGTACCTTGCGGACTTCTAGGCAGAAATGGAATCCTGCCACTAAGTAAATTCAATTTAATAAAATCAATAAAAAATTGCCAATTTAACTTAGCATTTGACTCCATTACCATACCATACATCTTGAATTTGAAGCGACAGTTGAAGTTGAAGCGACAGTAGCCTAATGGCAGGGCACGGACCGCGAACTCAAAAAGGTCGTGGGTTCGAATCCGCTATACGACTATTGGCGTGAACCACTCGTAACACAAGCAATTTAAGCTTACCACGAGTGGTTAAGGTGAATATTAGTAATGTTTATATAGCATTGTTAATATTCTTTTTTAAAAAAAGAAAAAGAATAAAAGAAAGAATACATCCTTCCAATGTACTTTAGGGTATTTTATGTTACCTGGCGCTGAATTTTTTTGTTTAATTTACCTTCTTAGAGTATTCTAAACATGCTATATCAAATAAGTGTAGTAAGCAAGTTGGCCCCTCTAAAACTAATATTCATCCTCTTTTAGATATGTGGTGTGACGACACGCGACAGATATGTTGAAACATTGCTGTAGTGAGAAGACCGTTTTATACGACGTGTACTTAGCTTCATACGTGATACCTCAAAAACTATTGCTAGCTCTCTAATTTTAGGCCCTTTTCCAATTATGTTACACTGAGCTCTTTGAACTTTAAGCTTTAAGCTCTTTTCTATTAATATTTCCGTACCTTGGTCCTTCCATCATCTGGCTTAAGACTAAACAGGGACTTGTAAGTAAAGCCTTTTTTTAGACCATCTTCAACTCCGTTTCATTGAGATCGGAAGATCACGATCGGAAAATCACGACACATCTTCATGAAAAGAAGATGTGTCGTGATTTTCCGTCTATGTTCATCTGAAGTCCTATCCGTTGAGAGACACTGTTGCGGTCATTGAGCATAGTTCTTAGGTCCTCTAGCGATTCTGTGATAATGACTATATCGCCAGAAAATTGAAGGTGTGTGATGTACTCGCTATTGATGTTAATACCGTATTCTTTCGAAGAGTTTGGGGACATAACGTTACCCTGCCTTACACCTCACTACAGTTGAATATGTTTAGTACTCCTGTTCTGTACTTGGATAATCATCGCAGCTATGCTGGATAAGCACTTCAGCAGTTTGATATACCGATAATCAACTTGGCACCGCTGAAAAGGCTGTAGCATCGCCGAAATTTCGACGGAATCAAAGGTTATCTCATAGTTCACATATGCAAGGCAAAGTGGCAGCTTGCAGTCTTCGGTCATCTATACAATTTGCCGAAGGGTATTTATATGATCTATGGTACTGTGGCCGTGGTAGGAAAAGGGGAGATCTCCCGCCGGGCAAAGTGTTCTGCCCGGGGAGTGGCCAACACTCCGTGTGATAGTTCGGAGAAGTTCTATATATACTGTTTATGATTCGGAATGTTGATAGCGTGATTAAGGCTTCGGTGTGTTTTCGCTTGTAGCGCGACGACAGCGCCGCTACATCACCCCCCTGCTCAGACCGGAGGTCGATAGTGCAGTCTTGTTGTCGAAGAATGTACAAGTGCCAGGAGATCGCCTTGTAGTCTGCAGTGAGTCGAGAAGAAGGCAAATAATCTGCGAGAGTGCCGTGTAGCAGAGGCGAGCAGTAAGGTTCAGAGCCGTGCCGAACACTGTATAGCGCAGAGAGTAGCTTGAAGGAACAGAAAGCATTATTATTCCAGTGCTGCGATGAACCTTGTGAAGCTAGATGGCTTGCAGGATATGAAGACTGCAGACGATATCTGCTCGGGAGCGAATGGGTGGGGTATTCTATGACGATGACGAAGCTTGAAGTTTCCGAAGGTTGTTTGGTTGCGTGTTCAGATCACGTCGGGGTCACCACTGTGGCCGTGGTAGGAAAAGGGAAGATCTCCCGCCGGGCAAGGTGTTCTGCCCGGGAAGTAGCCAACACTTCGTGTGATAGTTCGGAGAAGTTCTATATATACTGTTTATGATTCGGAATGTTGATAGCGTGATTAAGGCTTCGGTGTGTTTTCGCTTGTAGCGCGACGACAGCGCCGCTACAGTACTAAAGCCTTTTCGAAAACCGGCTTGTTAAAGAGGCTGAAAGTCGTCAATTCTGCGTGCGAGATAACTCGTAATAATCTCAAGAAAAGCACGTAGACGAGGCTAAGCAAGGAAATCGGTCTGTAGTTTTTCAAGAGGGCGTTGTCGCCTTTCTTGAAGAACAAGACTACCGCACTTCTGCTCCATGCCTTAGTCCATCACCCGGACTTCAAGTACCAGTTTTCCACCCACTTTCAGAAGCCCCGCTGTAATTCCATCATCGCCTTGGACCTTGCCGTTTTTAAAGTGCTTGAGAGCTATTATAATCACGCTCAGACTGATGCCCGGGATATCATCGGATTAGAATACGTCGTGTCAGATGCTTAGTGTAGGCCCTAGACGCTAATGAAGCATGGCATGCTTTACGTGTATGCATGTTTGTTTAATTGCAGTAATTAGTGGGTTTGACATGTAAACTACGTGCTGGCGGTTGATAGACGTTAATTTAATTTCTTCATACATTTAGCTACGATTGACATGCGAACATGATCGTCTTCAGAACGGCATGTTATGCAACAGCTCAGATCGTTTCGAAACAGCGTCAATGTTGCACTGCTAGACCAAACATTTTCAAATCTATAAGTTATTAGTATTGTTGTCTTTAATTGTGAAACGCAAGACATAAATCGACAGAATATGAAAAATATATAGAAAGAATATGATGTTTAAATATATTTTAAAAAATCTTTCTTTGACATTGTCATTTATAATTTGTATATTATATTGTAATGTTATGACAGTTAAAAATAAATATTTTGAGAAAAATATTACCACAGCAGATCGGAGTCGCCTTTAATTTTATGCAGGTTGTCCTGAAATGTGAAAGTTATTGATGAGCATGATAGTCCGTCATGATGTAACATGATCATTTACGTAACAAATGCTAAGACTTTGAATCGCGTTGCATTTCCGTCTAGTGTAAGTTGATTTAATAATGATGGTTGTAATTTTTTTAACCAACGCGTTTCCCTTTTTTGTTAAAGGGGAATGCCCACTCTTCATAGACACTTCGGCCATGGGTGCCAACATATAAAAGTATATAGATATGATAATATGCAATTAAGAGAATAAAATGGTAAAGGAATTGCTTTAAAAAAAGTCGGGATTTTAAAGATATATAAGTTTTTATTTTCACAAATACAGTTTTTTAACAACTACTTTTATCAATTTTATCGCGTTTTATTTCTTTGATTTTTTATTCCAGACGTTTCGGGTGCTTTCCAGCACCCATGGTCACGGCGGACTGAGGTGAATGACGTCCCAATGTCAGTGTTAACCTAAAATACC